CCCGCCACTCCTCTTCCCACTTCCTGTGGCTCCTCCTCCTCCGTTGCCCACCCTCACCGTGCACCCCAGGGGATCCTTAGCCACCTTCCCCCCTAGGTCACCTGGATGTGCGGGCCCCACCTGCCTCATCTAGTGAAGAGGGGTACTTACACCCAGATTGGCTCTGAGGTCCTTCAGGGTCCTGAGTGAGGCTAGACGCATGATCCGGGGCCGTTACTCTATCTCCCTAAACCTCAGATTCTTTAATCCCTGAAAAAGGGTCCCCATAGCCCACTTGACCAGGAGTTAAAGCGATCATGCTAAGAGAATCAGGGGCTAACATAGGCTGGGGTCATGGGGCTTTTTCAAGGAATGCCTGGGGTAGGGGTCCCCGGAGACCCCAGTGAGGCAAGTCACCTGGGTCTGCTATCCTGGGCTGTCACTGCCTGCCTGGGCCTGTTAATCCTTCTACAAGTGGGCCTAGGTCCTACGGTGGGAGGAGGACCTAGCAGGAGACCAGAGGGAGACAATCAAGTCACCTGTTGGCTTCCTGGCCCTGTTACTGGCCCCTGGAGAAGCAGAACCCTGAGGCCTGGGGCCTGGGTTGGGGCTGGGCTATGCAGGTCCCAGGAGACCTGGGGACATTGCTCGGGACAGGAATCTGGGTCTGATTCCCAGGCAAGCAGATTGTTCTTTTGATTAAAGCCACAATGGGGAAGGGAGCAGGGAAGAGCTGAACCCAGAGTCATCTGGGGGTAGCCAGGCAGGATTGGGTCCCCTTCCACAGTCCACAGCCAACCACTCCTCAAAGTGGTCCTGGGATTAATGCTGAAGGGACCATGACACCAAGAGGTCAGAGTGAGGTACCTGGATGCTCAGCTCCATCCTCCTCCTCTTCCCCACTAAGCCCCATTCTCCTTTAAAAACTCACCCCCACAACGTTGTCACCAGCGTTTTCCATTTGGCTCTTACAGCCAGTGTGGAGTAACAAAGACAGTCGCTACAGTAGCTACCGTTTCTAGAGGTATCCCTTGAGGCCCTTTCAAACCTTTTATTTAACCCTTCCAGATTCTACTCCAGGACTGAAAGATCCCACCCTGCAGACCAGACCC